CTCGAAGAAATTTCTTAGAACTTACGACCGAGAAAAATCAAGCATTGCTAAAGAAATAATAACTCTCATGGAAAAATTTTATGTTTTTAAAAAATTTAAAATAGATCTTGGATAATTATACCAAAAGAATTTCGAACTTCAATTGCCTATTTATTTTTTAACCACACCACGTTTCGCTCAGATTTATCACTGAAAGTTATCAAGTGTAAATTAATCTAAATCCTAAAACTACTGAGCTTCTATACTAGAGCAAAGCATTCATCCGTAAAAAAATGGGTGCAGCCGGTGCAGCCCCAAGCATTGTTGCGTTTTATAAGTACCATATCATGGTCATTTCAATACTAGGATTGCTAAAGGTGTTATTATTTAGACTGAAAAGCTCATGAAAGAAAGCGCCTTGCGTAATCATCTTCTGATGCGTGTCAAATACTCGTCAGCGAGTAATGGCAGTAGTAGTAGTAGTAGTAGAGACTGTATGATGAGTTATAACTCAAGAAAGAGGAACACAATAGGTCTGTAACTTAGATTAAGAAGTCTGTAAGGTCGCGATGATTAACCTCATACGTTCTACATTCCACATAATTATAAAATTGTCACCGTGTATATCCATGAATTATTAAAATGCATGATGCATGACGAGAAACAGCCGTAAAGTACTGCTACAAAATCTTATATCGACACAACACTTAGCTAAACGACGCAAACATGCAAATGCGTCGTCCGCTACGTACATTGAAACAAGCTGGTCAAGTCAAGATCTCCATCGGTACCATCAAAGCTTCTTCTTTCTCTCTTTGGCCCGTTCGTCCGAGACGCAGCGGCGGACGTTATCTGACCGCTCGCAAGCAGAATATTATTTACGGGCAATAAAAATGCATTGTTCTAAATTTAATCTTTTGATAAGAGCGGCCCTGTAATTGAGCATGATGAGACCGATCGGCGCGGCGCGGCGGGCCGACGGAAAAGAAAACAGACCCGTCTTCCAGGCTCGTCTTCTTCTCGCTCGCACCTCACACCTGTGCACAGAGACGCTCCGAGCGGATTTACGCGATGGTGTTTGGATTGGACAGGACCGTAATTAGCCAGAACACAGGTGAGTGTTTACATTTTTATTCATTGCCAACATCTAATAAGACGTATAGACTAGGGTTTCCGGAACCGGAGCTGGTTTTTCGGAACCGGGAATTCCGGGGACTCAGAAACTTCTTCGAGTGTCTTAGACCGTTGCAAGATTCCCATTCCAGGTTGCGATTGGAGTCTTCCAAGTTCTTGAGTTCCGGCTTGAGTTGGTTACCACTTGGAAAGCAGAACGGTTCTGGTCCAGTTAGTGGAGTGTTCGCTCCTTTTCTAGCTAGATCATTTGCTTTTTCATTGTCATTGCCTTCTATCCGTTGGTTAGCAGGTATCCAGAGTAGGAGGACTTTGTTTTCTTTGCCTAATTTATTCAGCTTCTCTATGCATTCTTTGACCAATTTCGAATTGATTGATACTGAGTTGATCGCTTTTAACGCTGCTTGACTATCAGATAAGATGGCTATTTCTTGTTTCCGATAGTTCCTATCTAAGATAAGTTGTACGCATCTTTCGATAGCGTAGATTTCTGCCTGTAGGATGCTAGGGTAGGTGCCCATTAGTTCAGAGTATTTAGTTCTCGACCCAAATACTCCGAGAAAAACAAAACAAGAGAAAGAGTGCATCTACCATCAGGTACCTCGTGAATGCGCCGGTGAGTCATATATTGATCAAAATGGTGTGAGAAAGCTAGGAAGCTATAAAATGTTGTTCCTGAGTTGTATTGAATGTTATTGGATCCATCAACAACCACGCAATTAATTCCACCTTTTCGTGTTAAAATTTTTTCGCCAATTTTATTATCATCTGAAATTGTTACAACGCAACGCGGCGCCCAGTTCGAGTTCCCTTTCAATTCATCTTTACCTACTACCCGAAACAGCGTTATATCACACAAACTTCGTACCTGAGAAGTTTATAGTTTCAATAACTACAATATAGTAAAAACCAAAATACTTAAATATTATGACATATAGTTCACATCAAATAAACTTTTAGTCACGTGATTAAGCTTGACCGGCACAGCGTTGCCCACTTTACATAATATTTTCTTTTAATCAAAATATTTTAGGAAACAAAAATAAATTAATTATAAATATATAAACAGTTATTATTTACATCAACAAAACTCACCTTCTTAACAGCACTTAAGGGACATAAAAGGTCATTAATACCGCTTTCTCCTTCAAAATATTCTAATAAAGTTGTGATGAGTTTTTACGGCTATTAAGCTTAAGCTTAATTTTTGAGCTTAAAATATCATAACACTGTTTATTTAAACTAAAACCTCGTAATACAAAACTAAAGTGTCTAAACGAATGACAATGGAAAAAATAAATATATGTGGCAACTTCAAAATTTTTACAGCAGGGAAATTTAAATGCCAGTTAGTCAACCCGGCGCCGAATATATCCATGGCTGGCAACAATGAATTTAAAAATCGCGCCCTTGATTACGTAACTAAAAGTTTAATTACTGTATCAAAGCACAGATCAAAGCATTATTATTTCAAAGTAGCCGGACAGTTCTGGTTTCTGCCGTACCGTGCGCTGCTGTCGGAATTTTTAGACATCGGTTGAAATTCACCAAGCCTATAGGCATATACAAAAAGAATGTAGATATAAATTATACCTATTTGCGATAAAAAAAATCATGTCGCATATCAGTTTTTAAGTCCATATTGACCATAAAATGACATTAAATACCAACAAAATTTAATCACGAGGAAATAAAAAGTTACTGGACTATAATTAAACCGTCTTATAAAATGAAAAGAGCTGGAATTTTATGAAAATATGAGCGATAAGGAACAACAGGGACATTTTTCAAACCGCCGCGCCGGGCCGCCCGACCTATTTACACAAACAAAGGCCGGCTTTTTTAGAATACCGTATACTTATGCGGCACTCTATCCTGTAATTAAAATCGCGATAGGTGCGATAAAAACAATGTTACATTAATTAACGTGGCGTGCTAAAGGGTTATAAAATATTTTTGTTGCGTTTAATCGATATAAAAACCGGCCCTGTCACACCGCCAGTACACAGCAAGCATTTATCAAGATCGATGTTTTAGAAATATTATTTTATTTACCTTTCCATGTCTCATTACTTCACTTCCAAATTTGTACCTAGGTATTACATCGTATTCTTTTTCGAATAAAGTATCGATCTAAATTATGTATTTATAGTCCAGGAGGCAGTGAAGATCTTCGGTACTTATTTTCCCAGCTAGAAAACACCGATAGAATTATTCGGTACAACTTAACAAGTATAGCTAGAGACGTGAGAAATATAAAATAACACGCGACCTGTGCTATCCCCAAGTCTCTTCCTATATTTGTACAACTGTACCTATCTTACTAAGCAAATTTCATATATACAGGGTGACGATTTGAAAACGAACAGTATTTAATATTGCCTCTACCGATGATAGTATGAAAATTTGGCGAAACACGTCAATTTACATATCAAGGGGGACAATTTTTGAGGCATTTGCATTTGTTGTCATGTTATACTTTCAACCCCTTGACCCCCCAGGGCACCTACCCCTAAAATTTTAAATAGCAACCCCTATTTCTTTTACCAATTTTGTGTTTCTTATAGAATTCTACATAAACTGCATTATTTTATCATTAGTTTATCGAGGGTCACAGTGCAGTACCTCGTATCATTTTTGATAGGATTTTTGAGGAAATCCAAAAAATATACCTAAGTTTACATTAAATTATTATTTTTTTGATGAATAATTATCTTATAAAGCCGAAATATCAATGCTCTATTACCAAATAAAATATTTGTAATTATTTTTGTGCTAAAATTTAAAAAAAAATAATAAAATTTTATTAAAAAATTCATATGAGGTCCTGCCTTGTGACCCTAGTTATGTAGAATTTTATAAGGAATACAAAAATGGTAAAAGAAATAGGGGTTGCCATTTAAAATTTTAGGGGTAGGTGCCCTGGGGGGTCAAGGGATTGAAAGTAACACGACAACAAATGCCTCAAAAAGTGTCCCCCTTGATATGTAAATTGACATGTTTCGCCAAATTTTCATACTATCATCGGTAGAGGCAATATTAAATACTGTTCGTTTTCAAATTGTCACCCAGTAGGGGGGGGGGGGTCCGATGGGTTGGGGCGGAAAATGCGTTACTTTTTTTTTCCAGCGACAAAAATAGTTCGATTATAGTGATAGAGATGCTGTGCATCAGTTAAGAAAAAAAAATAGTCTGGCTAATCTATGAGAATGGATAAGTCTGGCAGGTGAAAAATTGGATAAAAATTATTAAATTTTAAATATGTCGACACTTTTTTAGCTTTAAATGTCGCATTTATAGTAACTTTAACCCTCAAAATTTCATTCGAAACGCTAAAAGTACTTGGCAGAAAATTATGATAAATCGAAAAATTATTAAGACTTTTTAACACCCTGTATCTACGAAACAAAGCAGAATCAGACAGCGTTGATATGAAAAATAAATCTCATTTTTACGTGAGGAATCTTCCCACGAGAGATGATACATGTTTTTTGAAACACCCTGTATAATCGCAAATATACAGGGTATCCCAGTATTTCGTGGACATAGAATTACTACATATTTTTGGAATCAAAGTAACTTTATTGGATACGATAATTGTATCGTATGATCGAAAGGATCGAATTTATGGGATCGAATAAAAACGGCGTCAGCGATGGCTATGAAATGAAGATCGCTGTCATTTTATATGTAAATTTATATCGATTTGTCATTTCATAGCCATCGCTGACGCCGTTTTTATTCGATCATATGGTATATTATAATATTATATCCTTATTATATCTTATATCCAAAAAATATTTTTGCCTGAATCCTGAATAGTTCTAATAAACAAATATGTTCTTATCTGACCATCACTAATGTTTAAAAGATTTTATTAGAACTACTACGGTTTCTAAACTTAACCCAACTTTTTGACAGACCAAAAACATTCCAAAAACTGGTATAAAAGGGTAATATGTGGTAATATAATTTATAAAAATAGGAAAAAACATTATAAAGTAAATATATTTCTAACCCTACAGTATCTACAGTTTACGTAACAAATTCCCAGTGTTTATTCTCTTCGAAATTTAGAGTAAACAAATCATATACCTATTTCACATAACTATTTGTAATTTTTCAACTTAAAAACAAAATGAAACGTAATTTTAACAACACTATATCATCAGAAGACGATATAATAATAGGTAGCTGAACCTGTCTGTAATATAGTATAAATTAATGTGTGCAATAAATGATATTATTTTAGAACATACCCAACATATTAATAAGAAAATTTGTGAAGAAAAAACTTTATCTGAACCTGTTGAACTAATGGATTGTTCTGATAAACCAGGGACTTCTGCAGATGATACCACATTTTTCAAGTCATTACACACCGAAGGACAAGCAAGTGAGTAGATAAAAAAACTGCAAAAACTTAAACTTCTAGTATCTAATTCAACTTTAAGCTTTGGTTGAAAGAAATCCCAATCCAGCTGGTTATAACTTGGTTAATGCCAATTATGTTGGCAAGAAAAATCTAGGTATCCTCTCTGAACTAGAACAGTGTTTTGAAAATGTAAAAATATTACATTTCTTTGTCACCTATTTCATTTTCATTCTTTCAGGCAATTGAGTTTACACAAGCCAATGTTCGAAACCGAATTGATATGATTGGTCAGCAAGTACCGTATTTTTAAAACTTGACTTAAACACTTTTTTAAATATTATTTTTTAGATGAAATATTTACAGAACAGTTTATGCGATGTTATTCATAAAGCTAAGCAGGATAGCGAATTACATACTGCTGCATGTAATTTTGTGAAAAAACCAGGCAATATGTATCACTTGTATGAGAGACCTACTGGTCAAAAGTACTTTAGTATGTTATCACCAGCAGTAAGTAATAAGTTATAACTAATAGAAATTAGAGCAAAAAATTGTTTCTTATATTTAGGAGTGGAATGGTAATCCTCCGCATTTGTTTTTGGGAAGTTGGTTTTTAGAAGCTGATCAGAGCTGGACATCATCTGAAGTTATGCATTCAAGATACCCTGGAATAGCGTTTTTAAAAGAAATGTACATGGGAAAAAAGTCTATACAGTAAATGTGTGACTACTAAACTTTAACACAAAGAAAACTAATATGTAATAAAAGAGACTTTATTTTGTTAATATTGTAAATAAACCTAAGAATTATTATCCTCTTCCTGTTTATTAGCATCATAAATTATTTTTATTTCCCTTAGTAATGCATCTATATTTTCTCCAGTTTTAGCACTAATAGGTATTACAGGTAGTGATGACAGTTTTTGGATAATTTCTAAATTCTTTTTTGCCTCTGGAATATCTATTTTATTAGCTACAATTATTTGCGGCTTTTGTCTGAAATTCTCATTAAATTGATCCAACTCTGACTGTAATATTTCAAAATATTTCCATGGCTCATCTAAAGATGCATCAAGAACAAAAAGCAGGACTGTACAGCGTTCAGTATGTTTCAAAAATTGTATACCCAAACCCTTATTTTTATGTGAATCTGGTATTAAACCAGGTAAATCAGCTACTGCTATCTGTTCATAATCATCATATTCTACAATACCTAGGTGTGGTCTTAATGTTGTAAATGGATATGGTGCTACCTTAGGCCTTGCTCTAGAAATTGCTCTTAAAATTGTACTTTTACCCGCATTAGGAAAGCCAATCTGAAACCAATGATATGTTTAACAAGTTTATGTATAAATAAAAACTATAGAGACATGGTTTTTATATAACCATATATCAATGTACTTACCAATCCAACGTGGGCCATACTTCTTACTTCAACAATATATTCCAAGTCTTCTCCGTCAGCACCATATTCACAAATTTTGGGTGCCTGTTCTGTATCAGTCATAAAAAAATGATTTCCCTTTCCTCCTGCTCCACCTTTTGCAGCTATGAACATCAGTCCATTGGTATGCAGATCACCAATTACTTTGCCTTTTATATTTTTAATTATTGTACCAACTGGTACCTGTAAAACACAGTGGCTTGCATTTTTTCCATGACAATCCGTATTTAAACCTGCAAAAAAAAGTCGTAAGAAATTAATTCACTTCTATTTCATATAACTGACCTTTCTCTCCATCAGAACCCTTTGCAATAGAAGGAATAGCATTCAAATCACGTACATTGTTGCTGGCTTGAAAAATAACATGTCCACCATTACCACCATCGCCTCCATCTGGGCCTGCAAATTCATTACTCCATAAACTTAAAAACGATATACAGCCATCACCTCCTTTGCCTCCTACAGTTCGAAGTTGCTTAACATCTAAAAAACTATGAATCTAAACATACATAACATTTCAATGTTCTTAATACACTACGTACCGAAATTCCTTGGGCTTTCGGCTTTTTACTTGGTACAGGCAGAGCCACTCTCTTCGAAAAATATCGAAGTTCTTTAGCGAAGCTTATTATTTTTATAAATTTATTTAACATTTTTGATTTAAAAAATAAACAATTATCTTAGGTTAGAATCTTACATTTCTTGGCATCTTCCATAGATCAAAAATCATAATTGACAACTTTACGGCAAATTAATTATAAGTATTTTTTTTATATATGATCATTTCTTTCTTTTTTCTTTTTTGATTAGTTTTGCGGCCTCAGCTGCCAGGACTATACGGCCGAATATGATGATTTGCTTATTGTACGGTGGAGGTATACGCTGTACAGTTGGACGACTATTATTAGAAAAGAAGATATGTGTGTATGTTTAGTTGCATAACACAATTTCTGTCATGAAATTTTTAAGTAACCAAATTTTTGTCAAAGAAAAATTTTGATTAACATTAGGTGAGATTTACTTTTAGGGTGAGATTTTAAAATAGTCTGGTATACTTACTATTTGTTTATTAATTTTAGGTGAAGGGACGCTATTACTGGTCTTTTAAATAGAGATATTGGTTTATAAACATGGATGCAGATTCTGATGAAGAAACTGTCTCTGAAGAGGACTTTTATAGTTTTTTAAATATACCAAAGGAAGTAAGGCTTAATACCGATATACTGATTATCATGATAGTTTAGTAAATATTTACACATCCAAGTTTTCTGAATTCAAAGTCACTTAACCTCAAAAATTGTGTAAACCATATAAAAATTGTGCAAAACTGTATATTCTTTTAGGCCAGCAAAGAGGAAATTAATAATGCATATAGACGACTGAGTCGCATATATCATCCCGATAAGCATTTAGATCCCACATTAAAATCTAAAGCTGAAGTAATGTTTAACAAGACTAAGCGAGCTTATGAAGGTTTAGATATTGCTTTATGGAAATTATGTTAAATTAATTCTTTGGCTTACAGTTTTATCGGATCCGCACCAACGTGCAATATATGATTCGTTAGGCACTAAAGGTTTAGAAACTGAAGGTTGGGAAATTGTGCAGAGAACTAAAACTCCAGCTGAAATACGTGCTGAATATGAACAATTGGCTGAAGAAAGAGCTGAAAGGCGAAAAAAACAAGCTACTAATCCATCTGGAAATATTACAATAGCTATAAATGCAACGGATTTGTTTAATCCATATGATGAGATCTTATTGGAAGAGGAGTATGAACCGTATGAAATTTGAGTCATTTATTTTTGTTGAAACTGAAATGAAAGATATTTTAGGGGAATATTATCAAGTTTTGCCAATGTTGAAGTATCTTCGATGCAGTTTTCACAAAGTGTAGATTTTCCATTAACTCAAAAGGATACGTGTACTTTGTCAGGGCAATTACATACGCAAAATGGAACTGGTGGGGGCGGAGTAAATTGGAGTTGGAGACATTTATTTTCCAACAGAAGTTGGGCTGAGGTGGAAGCAACTGCAGGTAGTGGTCCAGCTTTATCTTTAAAAGCATTTAGAACATTATCAAAGAGGTTTTTCTGGAATGGGGGTACCATTTTACAATTTACTCCAGAAGGAATTCGACCTGGAATTATGTCAAGTAAAGAAATTGTACCTTAATATTGAACACTGCTAACTGATTGAGTTCTCTTTTCTTCAGCATTAGCTATGCAAATTGATAAACATTCAGTAGGTTATATTTCATATCATGGAGGTGTAAGATCTTTATTTGCCACACAAATTGTCAGAGATACAGGTAAATTTTTAGAATTTTTTCCTGTTATATTTATTATATTTATTATATTTATCTGAAACTTTTAGAAAATAATAGGTATAACTTTTTAATACAAGTTGGTCTTCCGCATTCCTTTGTACAGTTACAGTACACCAGAAAAATGATTACCCAAGAGTTAAAAGTAAAATTAGCTGTGAAGTAAGAGTTTATAGTATTTATTAATTAATCTAGATAAGTACATAGCTTATTCTGTGATATTTTAGAATGGGTACCTTTGGTGGAGTTGTGGAATATGGTCTAGAAAAGAAAGTTTCTAAGCATAGCAATTTAGCATTTTCTGTTGTTTGTGGTGTACCTGCAGGTGTCAAATTAAAAATAAGGTAATTAACTGCATTTTTTTAAAGTAATGTTTGATCAAAACAAGAAAAATGGTGTATAGTCATCAGTCATTGACTTTCCTAAGATACCTTATCTTGTTTTATTTTTTTTCGGATCATAAAGTACCAATAAATAATAATACAAAAGCCATTTTTTTACTTACATCATTAATATTTAATGAATATTATTTGCCATATCTATAAAAATATAGTAGACATGATTGGTAGAAGCAATAGCATGTACTGACTAGCACTGTATAAAATTGCGGCGATAGAAATTAAATTTCAACTGTGACTGTAATGTCAGTTTCATTCAGTTACTTAGTTACTTATTTGCAATCTAAATTCTTTTTTTTTTAACATAAGACAAGGCTAAAAGATATTTTAATTTGTAATTAATGAAATATGGTTCAATATTGATGACAAACGCGTAACTTTCTTAGATATTTATTGTATTTGTAATATAATTTGTTTTTGAAGATTAACAAGAGCAAACCAGGTTTATTCTTTCCCTATTCATCTTTGCGAAGAAATAATGCCATCACCAATATTCTATGCAACCGTCGTGCCTATTATAGTATATGTAGTAGTTAAAAAGGGCTTTGTGGAACCTTTCCTAAAAGAAGAGAAGTCGAAGAAACTAGAAAAACAAAAGCAGAATAATTTTAGCAAACTGTTAGAAAAAAGGTAATAATTGTCATTTAAATTCTATTGCTTTATTGTATTTTTTAAGTTATTTTATATAGAACAGCACTAAATATTATTCTAAAGTGGTTACTTGACAGTGACAGTTTTCTGTCATTTTAGTTCACGTTGTACATTCATTATTTGCTGTTGTACAGTTTCATTGTCATTGCTTGTCATATGTTGGTTAAAATCATATATATTCTCTCACTGGACAGATTTTACATGATTAAAATCTTTAGATCTAAAATTTATATTTTACCGCAGTAGGGATGTAAAATGGATCAGAATATATTCTTTTTTTTTTAAATGAAGTATAATGTTATGTTTCCATCTGTCTATATTTGTTGTGATGTTCAACATTTATTTTTCTTACCTACCAAACTATTAGTTGGTGTATTTGTTTACCAAGTAGGTAATATTCACTGTTGTTCTGTTTAAATAGAAAAGAAGCTTTAGCAGCACAAGAATTAATGCAAGCAACCTACACTAGAATAAGAGATGAAGAGGAAAAAAGAAAAGGTTTAGTCATAATTAAAGCTATTTATGGAAAAATTATGAGAGGTGCGTTGATAATTAATTGTGATTTGTAACTTTAATTTAAAATACTCATATATTTCAGAATCTGGAGATTCAGAAGTATCCAGTGATGTCCTAGATGTGACCGTTCCTATCCAGTGTCTTGTAAAAGACAGCAAATTAATAATCCACGAAAATTCAAAAGTACGTTTGCCAGATGAATTAAAAAACGTGAATTATAATAAATCACTGATTATTTACAGAGTGAATTACCAGGATTTTTTGATCCAGCCCTAGGGGAAGAAAAAATGTTACACATCATTTACAATTACCACGAACAGCCTCATGAAGTTACTGTTAGTGACACTGAAGCGTTAAGATTACCTAAAACAGGTAAGTACTACAATCTTCTCCATTTATTTTGCATTCTATATGAGTTTTTGTTTCTTCCAGCTCATAGAACTAATGTCACCTAATGTCATGAAAAAATAAATGAAATGTATAGTTGAATTAGATGTAAAAACAAAAAATATATGATTAAAAAGATGGACTATTTCAAATAAAAGACCAATCAACTCTCAGTACAGCAAAGTGTCATTTTTGTAGTTGTACTAAAGTTGTTCAAGCTGACTTTACATTGAAGGCTTTAGTTAGAATATTATTAAATTATTTGAAACAATAAAATTGTTGAAACGGTAATTTAAATGTTAAATGAGGATCTTTGTTTTTTTATTTGTTAAATAAAGAAGTATCTCAAAGAAATGTATATATCTTTGTTGTTATAATGATAGTTGGTGCATAAAAACTAAAAACAGTAATAACCTGACCTTAAAGTTAAGTAAACGAACACACTCGCTCATTTACTTAAGGTTGTTGATATATGAAGGTTTTTTATAATATTTTGGATGTTAATAATTCCAGGAAATTTTAATGTAATTTTTTTGTATAATTTTAACATCACAATAGTAAGTATCTAAAAATCTATAGTCTAACCAATAGGAGGATATATTACAGGAGAATATACTACCGTAAATTCTCTTCTTGCGCTGGCTAGACTTTATCCCCCTAACACTAGATTAAAATAAACAGTGAAAGTTGATACCAGTTGAAACTACTCAAGTACTCAGACTACTAAAAATTATATCTATCCAAATCAAACTAGGTTTGAACATCATCACTTTATGGCACATATCGTATGTTAAAACTCAGACCATGGATTTAGGATGACCAAAAGAGCATAAACCGTTTCTTTTTTAAATAAAGGGACACATATAATACAAACATATATTTCATTATTCTATTAAAAGCATATAGAATATATGTATAAAAACAGTATAATTACGTAGTGATATTCAAAAGTATAAGTTAATGGAGTAATGTATCATAAATAAATGCAACAGTTAACATTATTAAGCCAATTTTGTTTCAGCAAACTTCTTTGCTAAACTCAAAATATCATTAATATCAACCGAATTAGCACCACTAGCTTGAGCGGAATCTGGTTTGCCACCACCTTTTCCACCGATTTTCTGAGCTACAGCCTGGACCCATTCGTTTGCTTTTAGTCCCTTTTCTATAGATTCTTTTGGAACTGATGATAAACAGAATATTTTATTTGAATCTGCATCAACGGTTACAAACAAAGCTGCAGTTGAAGGACTTAAACTGCGAACCTACAAAACATATTATTTTTAGTATACAGGGGTGGTCCGAACTTTATTCCGGAAACTTCGGTAGCATATTCTGCAGATAAAAATAAGTAAAAAAGTTCGTATAAATGTATCTCCAAAAATACTTAATTTCGGAGATACAGGATGTAGTTTCATTTTTATTTCGATTTTTTCTAAATAATTTCTGAAGTAACGTCAATATTTGGACGAAAATTGGTGTCTGGGAGTTTTGTGACATGAGAAATTTGATTTTGATGTCAAAATGACTCCTATTTGTAGGAGGCGCCACATACATGCGTTTTGACTGTTTTGAAGAGTAATAACTTCGTCCGTACCTGTATAAAACTATTAACTAAAAAATATACATTTCCATAACTTCTTACCTAAAAAATGTCTCTTGGTAAAAATAGCTACGAGCAACCGTTCTTAAGATATTTAGAATGGAAATGGTCAATACAATGTATTTAATTACATGTCATGTAATTATTGACAAAAAATAAGCACATTGTGTATAGTTATTGGACTGAATTAATACATTTTTATTTTTTTTAAAATAATCATAAATTTTTCTGTGAAAAAATGATGATTAAACAGTTTCTGTTGAACTTTTGGCACAAAAAGATTTCAAATTTATGATTTCAGTCTATATTTACTCAACATAAACTTTATTTATGTCAATGATGACAGGTATTGATAATTTCAATTCCAAATATCTCGAGAACCATTACTCGTAGCGATTTTTACCAAGAGACCTTTTTTATGTAAAAAAAGTTGTAAATGTATATTTTTTTTTACTCAGTAGATTTATTCAGTATGGACGAAACGTTATTACTCCAAACCAAACCAAATCAAACCAGTTAAAACATATGTAGGTGGCGTCCTCTACAAGTAGGAGTCATATTGACATGAAAATCAAATTTCTCATGTCAAAAAACTCCCAGACACAAATTCTCATCCAAATATTGACGTTACTTCAGAAATTATTTGGAAAAAATCGAAATAAAAATGAAACTTCTACATCCTGTATCTCTGAAACTAAGCATTTTAGGACATACATTTATACAAACTTTTTTACTTATTTTAATCTGCAGAATATGCTGCCGAAGTTTCCAGAATACAGTTCGGACCACCCTGTATATGATAGGGCTAAAATGGATACTTGACTAGTTTTCAAACTAGTTAAGATATTTTACAAACAAACAACACAACCAACACCGCAAACTAACGCCTAACCCACAAAATAACAGCGCCTTTTGCAAAAAAGTTTGAGAACATATAGCATACACATATTTTTAGCATTTAATGAGAGTGACAGGTGGACCCTAGTTATAACCGTTATTTGAAAAATGAAAAAATACATATAGTGCATTCATTGTGCAAGAGTTATAAAAAAGTTTATGCGGAATTTTTTTAGCATATCCCATAACAAAAAAAAAATATCATGACATGTATGCTACAACTGTCATGGAAAAATAGTTAAGAAATTTATTTTAAAATAATTTAAGATTTATACAAATACGAGGAATTTTTATAAATGCCAATTTTTTGAATATTTTTCCCAAGATTTTAGAAAAATTATATTTTTCTCGCTAAAATGACATAAAACAAAGGATTAATTTCTAATACAATAGAGAACAACGGCCTACGGCCGAGTCGGCCGCTGCTGATACGTATACGTAGACGTAAAGCATCTTATACATGTAAAAATATAAGAAAATCGCGTGCGTACGTAAACCTTTACGTGTTTGTAGTCTGTGCCGTTGATCTCTAATATTTGCTTTTTTACTGTCTCGTATAAGTAATCATAAAATAAAAATCTCAATTTTGAAGATACCAAAGTTGTTTTACCTGTAACTCATAGAAGTAATAAAGTATAGTTATTTTAAATGTTAGATAAATTCTTGTTTTCTATAGGCTATTGGAACAAATTTAATAGTTTGAAATAAAATATTTTTAGTTTTTTACAGTTTATTACGGTGAATTTTTATATTTGAGTTGATTTGTCCTATACCACTGATGATTTTTTTTATTTTTCTAGTCAAAAAAATTATATTTTTTGAAGGCCTATATCTATATTTACGAAACATATATTGTAAAATCAAATTCCAAGCAATTTTTTTCTTTAATATTTTTCACTACTATCATTTAACTAGCCTTATTTTTAGCATAAAGAGTAAAGATGATTTTTGTTGTTTCCCATCACAACAGATATTGCATTTCAAAACCAGTTTTTTATTGGGCTTGCTTAAATAATTCTGCATAATCTTTTCAATAACTCAATATTTTTTCCATTTGTTGAAAAGTTTTTGGTACAGTTTGTAATCTCTCATCTTTATACGAATTTCATTCTTCTATTTTTCAAATAAAAAAATCAATTATCATTAGCAGCACCCATTAAAATCTAGAAAAATGTAAAGAGATAAATACCTGTTTTAAAGCACTATCTAATGCTTTAGTATTGTTGAAAGCTTTCAATTCTTTAACAAGTATGGGCAAATTAGAATTTGTCTTGACAAATTCCTTAATCTCATCCACAACCTTATTAGCCACTGCTGCTTTAGCAGCACGATCTTTGTCATCGAGCGTCTTTTTTAAAGACTTCAAAGAATTTCTGATTTCCTCTTTTTTCCAGTAAGGTATAACAGCTTGCGAAACTTCATCTGATAACTCTATAATCTTTTTAACATTTTCTTTTGATTTAGAGCCATCTTTATCTTCATCTATGTCTGATTTTAATTCATTTAATCTATTTTCGAGAACTTCGTTCCTTTTAAGAGCTTTTGTAGCTTCTGGACCAGTTAAAGCAACAATCCTTCTAATACCTTTGGCGATTGCTTCTTCACTGCTGATTACAAAGTCACCAATATGTCCTAAAAATTGACGTTAGTTTAAACGCTATAGGTTACAAAGTTAAGTTTAATAAAAAATCATATTTACCGGCATATTTTACATGAGTCCCACCACAAAATTCAATAGATGTACCATCTCCAGCTGGACTAAATGGATCATTTTCTAATGTCTCAACTGGAATGCCTAATAAGAAAAATATAAATATAAAAGTAAAAAATAAAGACAAAAAAATTATTTCTAAGTCATGATTTTTTAATAAAAAACGAAATTGTAAACGAAAAGAATAAGACAAAGTGTCTTGAAATATCTTATCAGAAACATTGCGTGATAAAGTGATAAGAGTGGACCACCCCAATTTTTTTAGACAAAATTTTTTATTTTTATTTTTTTATGATTTGCCGTTAAAAACATATACAACCCTAAATTTTCACCCTTTTACCATCAACCCCTATTTTTTAACAGGGGTTGTTTTTTTTAAATTATTTGTTACCATACTCCTCCGAAACGGCTTAACCGATTTTGATGATATTTTATATGTATATTCAGTAGGTCTGAGGTTATCTTTTTTTTATACCCCTAACTGATAAGGGTGGTCCACCCCAATTGTTTTTTGGACAAAGTTTTTATTTTTTTATGATTTGGTATTAAAAAACACATACAACCCTAAATTTTCACCCTTCTACCATCAACCCATATTTTTTAATAGCGATATTAGCAATTCAATAATTTTAATTTCACAACAAATGGTTTTTTAAAATTGTTAGCATACCTTAAATTAAAAACGTGGGTATGATTGGGTATATATTGGGTAATAAGTTTCTACCCAAATTAAAAATACCATCTATAGACCCTTTGGGTATATACCGGGTGCGAAAACTTGGGTATTTATCCAAATTTCAATATACCGGGTACTTGCCCATCACTGACCTTAGCCACAGCAACGCATGGTCGGGTCTGTTAGTTTAAATATACATAAATCATATCCATATCACTTACCCACAGAAACTATTCTAACAGGATCAGGATAAGTTTCTTCAAATACGGCACGTAATCCTTTAATAGTTTTTGCTGTAGCCAAGTCAGCTTCTTTAGCATAGACTTTGTCATTTTTAGATATCAGTTCTTTTGAGTTTAGTTCTGTATTTTTAACCTGCTCCACTGTGAGAGCGCCTTTGTTAGTGAAGTCAAACCTAGAATAATAAATATTTTGTTTTTATTTTCTTCAAAAATTTTACATAAAACTACCTTAATCTATCTGGTGCTACTAAGGAACCTCTCTGATCAGCTTCTGTTCCAAGAACTTTTCTTAAAGCATAATTCAAAATATGGGTGCCGGTGTGGTTACTCATTACCAGCCTTCTTCTTTCCTCATCAATATGCAAACTAACTTTGTCGCCTTTTCTCAGAGTACCTTCAATATTTCCAATATGAATGACATAGCCTCCTCTTACTTGGACATTCTTAACTGAGAATTCCACACTGTCATCGCCCACTTTTACTAAGTAACCAGTGTCGTATATTTGTCCACCTTGTTCTGCATAGAAATTAGTTCTATTTAAAAGAACTCCACATTCTTGCCCAGTTGTAACTTCATCCACAAATGTTTTATTATACCTATATAACATCAAACTTATTTATCATATTTTGAACTATATTTTTAATGACACTGATGGTCAACAATATACTTGGCTCATACTCTTATTTATTTTTTAATGGTGCTTACTGCCAGCTGGCCTTAAGGTTGTAATTTATTTTTATAGAGTTAAAGTTGTTTTTAAATGGTGTAGTTTAAAATTATGAAATTTTCCATTTACTTACCTCAATCCTATTACAGTAGCTTCACAGACTTCAAACTTATACACATCATCTGTTTTATCACCAGCTTCATAATTATATTTAGAAGAATCATCAGTCGGTGGAACACCAGCACTTTGTAATTCTGTTATAGCATGAACATCTAAATTAATTGTATCAGCAATACCAGCTCCTTTACCCTAAATAATGCATTAAGGAATATTTTAAAAAGTAGTCAATAATATATAAAAATACTGACCTGAGAGGCAATTTGTGCTAATTTTTTAGATTCTTCATATGCATCCATATTGACTTTCAAACCCTTCTCTTCTGCCATAAGGGATGTTAAATCTACAGGAAATCCATAAGTATCATATAATCTCCATGCTACATCACCAGGCAATTCCTTTGACTCCCCAAGTTTAGTGATGGTCCTGTTGGTTCATAGCATAATTTTAAGAAATAAAAATAATAAAAAAAAACAACAACCTGTTCAATAAATTTCTTCCCCTACTTAGGGTTTTTAAAAATTGTGTTTCTTCTTCATTAATTGTATCAATAATATATTGAGGATCCTTTTTAACTTCAGGAAATGTATCCCCTAGTATTTCAACAACAGTATTAACTAGAGTTGCAAAAAATCCAGGTTTGGCATTAAGTTTCTCAGTAGCATATCTGACAGCTCGCCTTAATATACGTCTCAATACATAACTGTAAAGAATATATAGTCATAAATCATCTTATTCTGTATACATTTTTATTTACCCTCTTCCAGTATTATCAGGGTTTCCTCCATCAGATAATGCTATAGTTAAAGTTCTTGCATGATCTGCCAATACCCTGTAAGCCATGTCAATTCCACCAAGATCATCATCACCTACTCTTCCTACAAGAAGAAGAAACAGTTAAATAGAAATAGAAATATACAACCCAATAAGTAATAGTAATAAAAATGTACCTTGATAAGGAGGTGCCTCAGTCCCTTTCTGAATAGCTTCAAACAATGGCACAAAAAGATCAGTATCATAATTAGATCTACAAATAAAATTATTGTTTATATATATGTAATCATGTAAGTCTTATAGAATTGTCACCTTTTATTTTGTATGACTGAAACTAATCTTTCCAAACCAAGACCACAATCAATATGCTTTTTAGGTAATGATTTTAAAGAGCCATCAGCCTCCCTGTTAAATTGGATAAATACAAGGTTCCAAATTTCTAAAACATCAGGGTCATCCTGAAAATATTGAAATAAAAATAGGTATATTAAGCTATTTTTAAATGCCAACCTGGTTAACTAAATGTGGAACATCTCTACCTCCAATTCTATCAAAATGCAATTCAGAGCAAGGACCGCATGGACCAGTTTCACCCATTTCCCAAAAATTGTCTTTCATAGATCCAGGTATAACATGAGATTTAGGTACGCCTAACTTCAACCATATCTAATTTGTTTCTAAGTTAGAATAATAATTGTTTAAAATTGTTTGTAAAGGTCTTACATCTTTACATTCGTTATCTGGTTCCAGGCCAGATTTTTCATCTCCACCAAAATATGTCACATAAATTCTGTCACCTGGTAAGTTCAGCTTTTTTGTTAGAAATTCCCATGCCCAAGAACAAATTTCTTTTTTGAAGTAATCGCCAAATGACCAGTTTCCCATCATTTCAAAAAATGTATGATGATAAACATCTTTTCCCACATCATCCAAATCATTATGTTTCCCTAAAATATTAATAACATAATGGTACCATCAAAAAACTTTTCAATAGTAACAATTTTACCTCCTGCTCTAATACACTTCTGGGTGTTAACAGCTCTAATCAACTTAAAAAGATCACTATTTGGGTTTGCAGTTCCCAGAAATATGGGTTTAAATTGATTCATACCAGCATTAGCAAAAAGTAAGGTAGGATCGTCTAATGGTATGGTAGAAGAGGAATGGACATATTCATGACCTCTCTCTTTAAAAAAATCTATGTATGCATTACGAACTTCTTTTGCAGTCAGACTTTGAGCCATTTTTAATATTTACTCTAAAATACAAAGAAATTAAATATTGCAAAATGTATTGACTGAAATCTACAAACTCAAGTTTGAATTTAAGCATATGGTATGATGCAACAATATAAAGAAATGTGTGTTGGCAATGAACTTTTAACTGCATTTTTTCCTGTTAGTTCCAAACAAAATTAAAATATGGAAGTTTTTCTTGGTATTTCTTTATGAAAATAGATTAAACTTACCTACTATACAGGTATATTAGACTAATTAAGCCTTGATTAACAGAAATATAGTGAAATATTGCTAAGTTTCCGTAATAATAACAAGAAAAGAATATAAATTAACTCTAGAGTATTGGGTTAAGTTGGTAAGTCGTGCCAATGCCTTCTATTAAAAGATCAGCCTACGGGCGGACTCTTGTTTACTTCATCAGCTGTACATACTTAGATATTGGGTTAGATTCCGTTTCATATTTTGTCGGTTGATTTTTGGTTTTAACTCTTTGATTTTTGGTATTATTTATTATTGTAGTGCAAAAAACTAATTATTTTGGTGTTGAAGTGACATAAACTACTACCAGATATATGGTCACTCTCGGTTTCGCACAAAAAATAGAAATTTTAAAAATTGTTGTGCAAGTGATTTAACCTAAAAGTGCCCATACATTTTTTACTTATCGTGATTTTTGTGTGTGTTTTTTAAGACTCTAACAATTCATCAATAAAGCTTAAGTGGAGTGTGTTATTGGTGCTATGCCTCATCTTTGTTGTGTTCCTGTTGGAAAGGATGGTTACTAAGGATAGTTATTATACTAGGCAGCCCTAAAGTGTCGGGAAGAGCAAGAAAAGTGGGTACGAGTTATAAATCAAGAGAATTTTTATTGAAAATATCTTTAATAAATTTAAAAATAATATTCTCCCATGATGGTATTAATGAAAACTGGACAATTATGTTTATTTTATTCATATTGTGGAATCTCCACTCAAGTGTTGCTGGTTCAGCTTCGATAGATTCAAACACGTAAGTAGGTATTATGATCTAGGGAAAAATAAAAGAATATGTGTATTAGAGATCATGAAAAAGATTATTATTTTGAGTTCAAATTTTAAAAAAGATTTTTGTAAAGACAAGACTGATACTGTTTAAAAAGAAGAATGTGTTTTGTTTGATAATATATAATGTATGTTAAGCATAACATATATTTGTTCAGTAATTTTTAATGAATAGTATTGATTATTTATAATACCAAATTAATATCAAATATTTAAGTGATGGCTGAATACAATATGAATAAAATAACAATACTTAAAATTGGTATATTTGCATAATACAAAATTAAGTTTTAAGAATAAAGGTGTTACTAAAAATACTAAGAAATTCATATTTCTTTGTTTTAATTGGTCTAATGTTATTTACATTTTACGTAAGAATTATACCGTATCATCGAAAAAAATCGGCGTCTAGTTGGCTTGAAATGAACATCGATGCCATTCCCCTAAATAACTGTACACATAAAATAATTAACTAGAATTTTACAATCTTGGAAAATTTGATATTCTTGAACCTTGATTCTAAATATTCTAAATTTTTTTGATTTTCTTGGAATTTAGGTTCGGGAAAAACGCTGATTGATTTTTCATTTGGTTTTCATTATTTTTTTATTTGGTTTAAAAAAAAACGGTTCGGCTAACATTATAGCCTCCATCAGTGTTGTGTCATATGAAAAAAAATAGTGTCGAATATAATCCAAAAATTGCATATAAAATATTCACACCACCCACATAATGTTTACTGCGTACTCCATAGTCAATGTAGATAATTTTAGTGTTAAGAATAATAATTTTTAAAAAATATGTGGTCATCTTTTGATAAGTTTATATTAGTTTATTAATTGCAGTAAACATTATGAGGTGTGAATTATATTGTATATGTAATTTTTTTTGGATTCATAACTATTTTATCTCATATGACACAACACTGTGAATTTTCTAGTTAGCGAAACGTTTTTAAACAAACCAAAAATAATGAAAACCCAAATGAAAACTTAATCAGCGTTTTTCCTGAACCTAAAAATCAAGAAAATCAAAATTTTAGAATAATTTAACATATAAAATGCCAGCGATCTTCATTTCATAGCCATCGCTGACGCCTTTTAGATAATATTGTATTATTTGTAAATATAATTTTTCGAACATTGATACTTTGCAAAATATACATATAAATTTTGTGAATGCAAATAATAATACATCACTATTAGTAGATATTAAATGTTTTTGTTAAATTAGATCGATTTTTCAAACCCCAAAATTTAAAATATATTTACATTTTACCCATTATCTTATGTACCTATACATTATTTGTACATTGTAAAACATTTGCTGCATTTGTATGGTTCATAGTTTATTTGCCAAAGTATTTATTACTATAAATAGGTATATATGTTGTAGTTATTAACTGTATGTTATGTATATTTCATTTAAACTATATCATTTTTAAAATACAAACCAAAAATCTGAGGAATAATTATGTTTTCCATGTATTCTACAACATATTTATTAATCCGTTATATCTAACTAGCGTGACGTCATAAATCTCGCCCGGAGGCTGATCTTTTAATAGAAGGCATTGGTCGTGCTATTCTTCGATTAACTAGTTTTTGATGACCTAAGCTGCTAGAAATATTCGATTTTGAGAAGAAGAAGAACATTACTTATATTCTATGGTTAGAGTTCATTTAAGACCAAAAATACGAAAGAGAAGAAAAAAGCAGGTGGCGACATTATAGAAAAAGTGAGAAAATCTTGAACTAAAGTGTTTCCAGGATTGCCAAGATAGAGAAATATTAAGCGAAATCCTGAAATTAATCTAAATTGATATTTTTGTAAGTCTAAAATGAATTGAACCGTTACAAAATCATAATATACATATAAATCCAAACTTTGTTACAATAGAACAAATAATATATTTTCTTTTAGAGACACCATTATTTATGCAGCAAATAAAAACCATTCGTTGACGTGCGACATTTTCCGTTGTTAACATGAAGTCAATCGTTATGTCGCTCTTATAATTTTTCATATTTTTTAGACCAAAAGTAAATTTTCTGTGCAATATTTGAGTTTATTCTGTTCCTTAAGTCCCGCTAATAATCTCCTGACAATGTAAAAAGGGGCAACCCAGAGGTCTCTTTAGGTGGTCTTTTTATGCCCATGTATATATTATTAATAACATTTCTAAAAAAGAAAATTATAATTAAAGTATTATATTAAAACAATGCAAATTTGACTAAAATATGACGACAGGGTATAATATTAAAACTGAAAAAGGTTTTTTTTAATCTGAAAGTATATATTATGTAAGTGTGAAAGATGGGGGCACCTTTGGGTATACTAACACTCTGCCTTGTTCTAAAAGACGTAGAAAATACCTGATTGCCTGTACAAATACCTAAAAAAATACCTCTAGATTTAGGAATAAAAAACATGCATCTTTAATCTCGACCAAAGAAAATTGCCGAAAAAATACCAAATATTTCTAAATATGAAGCAATATTCTAAGCAACTTTATTTTTATTGCGCAGTAGAAACATCATGGAATGTATCTATATTTCCATATACTTAATTTTTGAAGAGGAAAATTATGAAAATTGATATAAAATATTAATTTAGATTAGTTTCAGGATTTCGCTATCTTGGCAACCTTGGAAACATTTTAGTTCAACATTTTTTCACTTTTTCCGAAATGGCGCCACTTGTATTCTTCTTCTTTTTCGTATTTTAGGTCTTAAAAGAACCGCAACCACAGATTAAAAATAATGTTCTTCTTTTTAACTTATGGTTCGAAACAAGGGAAACCACAGATTTGATAAAGAATTATTCTTCTTTTCTTTTAAATGGCTTGAACTTATATAGGTCGTTCGGTCAGAACTTGGGTCAGTTAACAGACAAGGACAAGATCAAAAATAAACAAGTACGCCATAGCATGGGCTATGGGCATGGGCCAAGGATATATAGAATAAGGATATTCGACTGGCCAAAAAAAAACGTGCCGTATTTTGTCGAGGAAGACGATTTCGTCACGACCAATGGGCGTCGAGTATTTGAAATTGAAAACATATAAATTGACGGTAACCTATGTTTTTTGACTCATTTCACTGACAAATGTGATGACGATTGTTATTGTAATTTATAGATCCAAAATCCAAACGTTTTTTGAATAAATAATTTATTTTAAAGTTATTTCCTAGAGGTTTGGTTTGGCCTTCTATATTCTGGTATTTGTCTACTAATAAATAATATCTTATTTTGTATTTCGATGTATGGAAATTCGCAAGTTTTGTATCTGAAGCCGCAAAGAAATTTCGCTCTGTAGTGAGAAAAATGTTATTATATCTTTTTAGACGTGTAGAATTACAAAATTTCTTATTTCAGATGTTCTAAATGTGAGTGCTTAATGTCAAAAATTAAAATATATACTTGAAATATTATTTCAAGTTACATGCTTTGACATTGTTTGGAAGTAAACAAATATTGAAGAAAGTGTTGTGCCTTCACAGAATTTAAATTGGCATTAGGAATAGATTTCCTTGATTTAGTAATGATATTGCTCATAGAAATTGATGATATACTATTTTATATTCACTCGTTCAAGTGCTGATCTATTTTTAAATTGAATATTTATGTAAATATTATGTATAACACGATATAAATAATTTAGGACATAAGAAATTAAAATTTCAAGTGCCAATATTGATTATTTTTTATCAATTTATTTCATATTCTAATATTTTTGAGAAAATTTTACTTAGATACATACCTGAATATTATGCTGCTTTTTTATTTTAAAGTGTGCCGACTCTGCTGTTATTTTTATACTAGTAATATTGTATACTGTAGGTATCGTATTCATATATAGTTATATATATATCAGTAGTATAGATACTTACTTTCTTTCTATGTGTACTTATATCCTTTATAGTCTTTCTAAGTGCATATAATACTACTTTTTTAAGAGAAGGCAGTTTTTAATAATCTATTGTTAATTCCCCTAATTCTGTGTCCCCTGGTTCTGCTATACAACAATTATATATTTTTTTATCATTACTGATTTTAAAAGTTTCTTTTCAAAGAATTTGACCATATATTTTTTTTTCAGAGTAATTGGGCTGTTCCTGAACAATATTGAATATAAATATTCAAAAATATGATAAACTGCATATCCTACTAAGTAGATCAATACCAAAATTCCATTAGAGAAATAAGTTAAAATTATGTTTTACTTGTATAATTTTCTTGCTATTTGTCCACCATTATTTGTGACTTAGAAATTAAATAGTCAAAAAGAATTTAGTACCAGTTTTTATTTCCCAAAAAAAATAATTGTTAAATAATTACATATTGCTTAAGATACAGTATATTATATTGTGTTTATAGTTGATAATTCTAGTTCTTAGTTGTTTATAGTTGATAATTAACAATATTTCTGATGTTAGATATTATATTAGATAAAAAATTTAATTACCAACAGCTACCTACCTATGTAGCTGCAGATTATTATATTGTGTAGTAGGTACTGTATAATTCTTTAGTTCAAGAAACAAATATCAGTACAAGTATATAACCAAAAAAATGTTGATGCAAATTCTTTGTATAACATACGTACCCCTATGGTATTCAACTTTTCATTGTTCTTTTAATTAGATACACAATAAGCACATTAATTCGTTTATTAAACAACCAAAACTCTAACTACTTAAATTCACAATATAAATATCACAATAAATATATAAGCTTTGATCAATTCCTATTATTAATACCTGACGACTTCATACTTTATAACTACCAATGGCTATCCTACTAACACACTAGCCAACTAATAATAAATCTTTTCTAAAAAAATACAACATAAAGACATCATTATTGCAATAATATAGAAATATATTCCATGTATCATTAACTACCTAGGTATAAATACAATACCCACATCTTCTTTTACGCGAATAGTGCGTTAGGAGGCAGAAATATTGCCTGCATTGTACATCATACAAATTGGCTAGAATTTATTAATATCCATTGCAAACATTTCTCTTTCAAAGGGTCTAAATGTTTTGTCTTTTACACGTGTCCCTGTAATATGTTATCAATTAACAACAGTTATCAAATATGACCTGGACAAAAAAATAATTGTTTTAACTTTTTTTCAAACTAAACTCTTTTAAACAAACTATATAAATAAAATTTATCCTCATAACCTAACTTGCTGCTAGAATTTCTTTCTTGTTATTCTATGTTCCTGTATTGTTATTCTTCACATTATCAATTTCTATGAGCAATATCATTACTAAATCAAGGGAAATCTATTCCTAATGCCAATTTAAATTCTGTGAAGGCACAACACTTTCTTCAATATTTGTTTACTTCCAAAAATGTCAAAGCATATAACTTGAAATAATATATCAAGTATATATTTAAATTTTGACATGCACTCACATTTAGAACATCTGAAATAAGAAATTTTTGTAATTCTACGTCTAAAAAGATATAATAACATTTTTCTCACTATAGAGCGAAATTTCTTTGCGGCTTCAGATACAAAACTTGCGGATTTCCATACATCGAAAAACAAAATAAGATATTATTTATTAGTAGACAAATACCAAAATATAGAAGGCCAAACCAAACTCTAGGAAATAACTTTAAAATACATTATTTTTTCAAAAAACGTTTGGATCTATAAATTACAATAATAATCTCATCACATCTGTCAGTGAAATGAGTCAAAAAACATAGGTTACCGTCAATTTATATGTTTTCAATTTCAAATACTCGACGCTCATTGGTCGTGACGAAATCGTCTTCCTCGACAAAATACGGCATATTTTCCTACATAGCCCGCTATAGGGAGTTGAATATCCTTCTTCTATATATCCTTGGCATGGGCCAATAGCCACCCCCTGGCCGCTTCATTTATATATGAGCGGCCCATACAGGCAATGTCCCATTGAGAAACTAAAATATATATTTTTTCCTATGATTTGGCCCGCCGCGGTCTTTATTTCTTTACCTCTCATCTGTGCATGAAATATCTGTCCGTTATCGACTGCCACGGAGAAATATCGGATATCGGATATGTGGCAGTCCGGGGTCCGGGTCGTTGCCAGCTGTGGTTGCAAGTTCTAAACTGCTGATACGCACAAATAGCACAAGCCTAAAGTGTTAAACCTAACGTTATTGATATTTTCAATTTTCAGTTATCGTTATTATAAAAATTAGAAGTTAATGGAGTGGACCAGACAAATTACGAGTGAATTTATTGAGTTGTATAAAGAAAAAATTTGTTTATGGAAAGTGAAAGATGAAAGTTATCTTAATAGACATTTAAAAAGGCTAGCTTATGAGGACCTGGTTAATTTTTTAAAAAGTAAGAATTTTACAAATATAACGGTGAAAGACGTTAAAACTAAAATTCAAAATCTAAGAAGTGCGTTTCGAAAGGAAAGTAAAAAAATTGAAGACAGCAATAGAAGTGGATCGGGTGTAGACAATATTTATTCCCCTAGTTTATGGTAATATAATATATAATTTAGGTTTAAATAATCTGGTCAAATATTGATCAAATTAATTTTAGGTATTATAATTTGCTACTTTTTACAAAAGACCAAGACATCCCTCTACCCTTATTAGATAATGCTGTATCTCCAACTTCAGAAGGAGAAATTGTAGAAGTCTTGATCGATACAAGTGCAGATGTATCTAGAAATATGTTAAACTCACCGGTGAGAATTTTAATAAATAAATATAAACAACCAATTATAGTTTTTGAACCATATTATTGTACTGATTATTCAACATCTTCCACTGAGTAACATTTCATCTTGCCAGACAACTTTACCTTCGCCGTTGAAGTCTATATATTCTTGTTGATTTGTTTTTGCAGCAACAGAGGAGTTTTGAATGGTTCTGGCTTGTAATGGTACTATTATCTGAGCATACCTATTTAAATCTGTCTCAGATGTAGCAAAGTTGCTATACGAGGGGCTGTTTTTCTCAAAAAAGTGTGCAAGTAACAAATTGCCATTACAATGTATTTAATCTTTTCTGGGCCAATATTGATGGGAGTATGCAGAATTCTAAATACTGATGCAATATTTCCAAATGTATTTTCAACTACATTTCTTGTTCAGTTAAATTGGTTTGTGGAAAAGGTTTTAGAATATTTGTATGAAGTGGAAATGCATCATCGGCTAAAAAAACAAAATTTCAGCCTTCATCTGTTTCATTTGTTTCTGGCAAGTTTAAACTATTATTATGTAAACTCTGTCCAAATGAAGTCAATGCGAACACAGCATCATCAGACATTCTGCCTTGTTTGCCAATGTCTACATACATAAATTCATAATTATGATTGATAACTGCCATCAAGATGATACTGTAAAATTTCTAATAGTTATAATAAAGAGATGCAGATCCAGGAGGAGGTGTGATCCTGATGTGTTTGCCATCAATCACACCTCCGCAGTTAATCATTTGCCATTGGGTTTTAAAACCTGATGAAATTTGTTGCCATTCTTCCTTTGTTTGTGGCATCTGCAACAAAAAAATAGATAAATATATTTTTTTTCCAGGAATTTAAGCAGCGGGAATTTTTTGCTGAAAGTAGAAAGCGAAAAATATCATGCGACTCAGACTTAACAAACTTTATGAAAGCATGTACAACAACATTATCCACTCCGACTATACAGGACGAATATGAAGCCACATGTGTATCTTTTGCGGCAAAAATGCGAAAAATGGATACACGACAACAAATTTTGGCGGAGTCACTGATGCATAGAGTTATAACACAAGGTTTGCTGAAGAAACTAAACGAACATATTGACATCGTAGATGTACGAGAATTTCGACAGCATTCTTCTATACCATCTAAAACAGAATTGTGGGAGCAAAGTGATAAAGTTGTCCACACACCGATGGCATCCCCTACTGGCGTGTTATCATCTACATCAACAAGTGCCGAAATTACTGCACTGCCAAATACAGATCATTAAAATTCATTAACTCAAAATTCTGACATGGCCTAAAAGTAGATGTAGATTTTTTTAGTTTTTGTTTATTTAATTTTTGTTCATATTAAATAGGTTTTTGATTAACATTTTGTTTCCTTGCTGAGCCATTAGAAAGTAAATGTTTAATTTTGTTAAGATATTTACTTTCATATATTTTTGGAGAACTTTACATATTGCCTTGCATGTTTCAGGTATTATGTACCCCAGTGTTTTGTACCCCAAATTTCAAACTCTCATATGATTGTCCTGTTGCTAAATACCGTAAAGTAGCAATTAAGTTTCGCACAACACGTGAAACGTGAACGCTTATTATGTATTTTCATAGTCAATAAAATTAAATAGAAATAAAATTCTAGATTCCTATAATTAATCTAATTGCTCTAGATTATAATGCTATGTTTAAAAAGTGCTTTATTAAAAATTCGGGGAATTAAAAGGGATGTGTCCAAGTTTTTTCTTTTTTTTTAATTTTTAAATGCTGTAGCTCCATGTCATGTTCCTAATAGGTTTTTTTTAACATTCCATCAAAACTATGGAAGCCTTAAAAGGCCTTTTAGCCTCCGTAATTAAAATTGTAGAATCAGCTTCAGCAACATTTACTATTTAAATTCTGCTTATACATATAATTCTGCTTATACATATATTGCATATATACATATATTGCATTAATTTTTCTGCTACCTTAAGATTTCTTTACTCTTACACCTAATTTATGTGATTTTCTTAGCATAATATGATTTATAAACCATATTTTTCCTAATGGAAGGATGGCATAGGATATGCAAAATTAAGATATTTTAACATTTATTTTCCAGACAAAGAATAATATAGTATTAAGATTAAGACATAAAAAATATTATAATAAAGATCTTAATTTAAATCACAAACTAATTACAAACTAATCTGAATTTGGTCTTGTATAAACACAGCTATAAAACTAATAAGATCAAAACTCAACCTTCACCATATTGTCAAGATTTGGCATTATAGGCAGGGTTCGGAAAACTACATGTTACTTTTAAAAACTACATAAACTACATTACATGTAGTTAATGTAGTTTATGTAGAGGATGTAGTTTATGTAACCTATGTATGCAACTTTCAAATATCAAAGGTTTGAGGTGAGGTTATAATAAGTTGAAGCTTTAAAAACACATAATGTATTTAAGAAAACAGAGGAAATATGGCTTTAAATATAATATTTACGTCATATTATCTCTATTACACCTCATACAAAGGAAATTTATTCATAATATCAATACATAGTTTATTAACGTATTTTTCATGTAGTTAATGAACGGGAAAAGACGTAGTTTTTGAAGAAAAACTACACGTAGTTAATCAGGTAAATTACCTCTTAATTAACTACTTCCGAACCCTGGTCACAGTGCTTTTATTGGAGCAGTCGCAGAGCGTAGCAGCTCCACAAAAATCGCAGACTGGCCCACCTCTAATTCTGACAGATATGCGCCTGTGAATACCAAATACAAACCAAAATAGATCATATATTATTCATAATCAAGGACACATCCATCCTTTGATATATGATTAGGTCCGTAATTGTCCGTCTTGGGTCCGTACTTTGTTCTTGAACAAGTCAAGTAGAGTCAAGTCAATCAAGTTATATCTCTGCAGGCAGGAGACTTGTGGGAGAATTAAGTATTCTGTGGCATCCGTATGTGTGGCACAGAAGAGAAACAATTTTTCTGTGGTGTAGTATTAACTAACCTCAGAAACCTTTTTAATATAAACTTTGTATTTAAAGTTTAAAGTCTTGTGTATGTGTTTTATGATTTAAAGTATACGTTGTTAAAAAATGACTTTGTATTAATTTTAAAGCTACCACTCCAAAATACGAATTATAATTTGGTAATTTGTCGTTTGCATAAAATGGCTGGCGAAGTTATTGTAGACGCTTTACCGTATATAGATCAAGGATATGATGAACCAGGAGTTCGAGAAGCGGTAAGTTATTTCAGAGGTAAGGATTACATTGCAACAAGTTATTTAGTACAGTATTCTTACAGGCTTTTGCAATGGTTGAAGAAGAATGCAGGCGATATAGACCAACCAAGAATTATTTAGAACATCTTCCTCCATTAAACATATCTGGTTTTGAGACAGAAATCATGCATAACGAGTTCGAAAGACTTCAAAACCGATTACCTATGGAAACCATTTCTATGAAACGATATGAATTGCCACCACCACCTACTGGAAAATTAACTGAATTAAATGCATGGGTGGAATGTGTAAATAATTCTCAGGCTCAATTGGAACATCAAGCTGTAAGAATTTTAAACTTACAACTAATGATGGAATATTGTTGCCCTGCATGGCAACGATATTTACAAACACTCCAAGATCTAGAGAAAATTGCCTCTAAAAAATTATCCACACTTAGACAAGCATTACAGGAAGTAAATTGGCAAAGAAAATCACTTCAAACTAAAGGTGGAGATCAGTTGAAAAATTTGGAAGCTAAATGGGTGGCCTTAGTGTCACACAACTATGAAATTGAACAAGCTTGTTGTATGGCTGAAGAATATATTGCCCGAGTAAAGCAAAACCCACAATTAATTGACATGCAAGTAGTTGCAAATAGCAATAACTTATAAATAAAATGTAACTTTAGTTTCTAGATATTATATATTTAATGTAAATCAATTTTTTATTTCTTCATTCAGTAATATACTAGTATTGAAGCTGAAAACTGAAATTTTCTGTCTTATTTTAAAAGATAAGTTAATTTGGAAAATAACAGCTACAAATATTTGTTTAACAAAAGAATGAAAAAGTATCCTATCAATAAAAATATTGAATAACATTAATTATTACACATCAATTATCTTACAATTATTTATCAGCCTTTTCAGGTTTTTTATTCTTAGCCACATGGCTCAACAGTCTTTGTCCTGCAAAGAAGGTAAAACCTCCAATAGGTATTAAATATGCACAGGTGGCAAACATATTCAGTTTTAACCAGAAGAGGGCAAACAGCCCTAAAATAGCTCCAAATCCTAGATGGAAAGGTATAGCTAAAGGAGTAAAGTTACTGAAATTTACACCAATTTTTTTCCATGATACAAGAAGCACTAAGAAAGGAGTCAAAGTGAGAGCAGTGAAAAAAAGAGATACTACTTCGGCAGGTCTTTTGTCTGGCTGCCTGAACATATGTACAATTTCTGGTTTTGCACTTCTAATTATTTTTGGCCCAACTGATTGAGTGGCAGCTCCACTTAATTTAACTTCAATGTTTCCTACGTTCCAGCGTATAGGATTAGTAATTATTGAGTCACCGATTATCAGTTCGATAGTAAAGGTATCTGACAATGGGAGTTCTTGGCCTAAGTCAGCTTCTATTTTGTATTGATTATTGCTTTCATAGCCTGCTACAAAAATAATTTCCTTCTTCCCAGCTGATAATCTGAGAAAAGCTTGGTGAACCTGTTAAAAAAATAAACTTTAACCTATTAAAAAACCTATTAATAAAAAGCAAATCACTTTACCTGTTGAGATAGTGTAAATTTGACTAGTAAATTTTGCCCAGAATCGCCTTTTAAAATCTTACTACATTTATTTGGGAATGTTATTTTTTCCAACTTAGGTACTGAACTACCATCAGCGTCTGACAATCCAATCTCAAAGTTCTTTATTTCGATGGGTCCCAAAACACGAGCATTTAGAGTTGCAGCATGAGTTCCCGCATTAATAAGAATTTTATAAAATCCAGGTTCTAACCTATACAATATAACAAAATATGTAAATTTTTGAAATATGTAACATAGTCATAAAATAAATTACTTCAATGGTAAAATAAACTCAGATTCCTTTGTCCCAGGAGATAGTGGTTGTTTAGCTAGTACGACAACATCATCAGCAATTCTTGTAGCAGACTGAGCAACAACTGGGCTTGGTGTAGGTTTTAATGGTTGACCCAAAATATTAGTAACTTGTATTCTCAATTCTGGTTTATTAACTGTGACAGATGTGGGACCAGCAATAGAGATTGAAACCGGTGATATTTTACTTGCAGCAAGAGCAGTAACAGCTTCCAAAAGGACTGATACTCCTAAACATAAAGAAAACATAATAATAGAAAATATCAGGTTACTAGATTTATACCTTTCGGGGTTTGTACTGTTGTTCTGGAAAGTAAATAATTTCCTAGCTTGTCAGCCTGTACCTGAGTTAATTGATTTGAAGTGGGAAACTTCAACAAACCAGTAAGAATTTGTGAAGTTGTACTTAGTCCACCTTCCCACTGTAATAATTTCCCATCAACTTCATCAGCTTGTACAACTATATCTTCGATACGGTTAATAATAAATTTTCCCGAATTTCCCAATAATGCAGCTATATGTAAAGCATATCCTAAATTCAGGACACTGTCATCTGTTTTTAGTTGTGCCTGAATAAGTTGGACAATCTTTTGTTGATTGCTAAGTGGTTGTCCAAGAAGTGTTAAAATTTCTGAAGCATAATGAAGATCCAATACAGATGATACATCACTCTGTAAAGCCTCTTGAGCAATCTAACCAAAATAATATGTAATTTATTACTTAATAAAAAGTATATAAAATGTATACCTTTACAACTCCTTCTACAGAGAGCTTGGAATCACATCCTAGCAACTTGTTAGTGCTTAATCCATAAAATAATGTACTCAAATCTGCAGTAGGTTTGAACAACTTGTTAAGCTTTTCACATGAGGCAGTTTTCAAATCTTTGGGTAATGCTTCATTAAGTAATTTAAAACTATTTGCTCCAAAATAAATTACAGATATATCCTCTGTGTTTGTGTTAAGAGCTCTTGTAGCAATCTCCAAGAACTTTTTTCTGGAATACGGGCAAATGTAACCCCCAATACTTGCATGGGATGTAGCAAATATTGTGACAATTAAAAATACTAAAAATTGCAAAATTAAGATATACAATTATCAATATCAAGCAAGATACCCCTACCTAAAATTCGTTTGAGGAACATTTTTATGTATTTCTTTTATGTTATTAAAAATATTTTATTTTTCCACCGGCACTTCTGAAGAGATTTTGACACGTCTGTTTCTGATTGGAGCGCATGCGGTTCATTCCTGGGTTCATTCAATAAACCAGTGCCTTCTATTAAAAGATCAGCCTCCGGGCGAGATTTATGACGTCACGCTAGTTAGATATAACGGATTAATAAATATGTTGTAGAATACATGGAAAACATAATTATTCCTCAGATTTTTGGTTTGTATTTTAAAAATGATATAGTTTAAATGAAATATACATAATATACAGTTAATAACTACAACATATATACCTATTTATAGTAATAAATACTTTGGCAAATAAACTATGAACCATACAAATGCAGCAAATGTTTTACAATGTACAAATAATGTATAGGTACATAAGATAATGGGTAAAATGTAAATATATTTTAAATTTTGGGGTTTGAAAATCGATCTAATTTAACAAAAACATTTAATATCTACTAATAGTGATGTATTATTATTTGCATTCACAAAATTTATATGTATATTTTGCAAGTATCAATGTTCGAAAAATTATATTTACAAATAATACAATATTATCTAAAAAAAGGCGTCAGCGATGGCTATGAAATGAAGATCGCTGGCATTTTATATGTTAAATTATTCTAAAATTTTTGATTTTCTTGGGATTTTTAGGTTCGGGAAAAACGCTGATTAAGTTTTCATTTGGGTTTTCATTATTTTTATTTGGTTTAAAAAAAACGTTTCGGCTAACTATAGCCTTCACAGTGTTGTGTCATATGAGAAAAATAGTGTCGAATATAATCCAAAAAATTACATATACAATATAATTCACACCTCATAATGTTTACTGCAATTAATAAACTAATATAAACTTATCAAAAGATGACCACATATTTTTTAAATTATTATTCTTAACACTAAAATTATCTACATTGACTATGGAGTACGCAGTAAACATTATGTGCGTGGTGTGAATATTTTATATGCAATTTTTGGATTATATTTGACACTATTTTTCATATGACACAACACTGATGGAGGCTATAATGTTAGCCGAACCGTTTTAAACCAAATAAAAATAATGAAAAACAAATGAAAAATCAATCAACGTTTTTCCCGAACCTAAATTCCAAGAAAATCAAAAATTTAGAATATTTAGAATCAAGGTTCAAGAATATCAAATTTTCAAGATTGTAAAATTCTAGTTAATTATTTTATGTGTACAGTTATTTAGGGAATGTCATCGATGTTCATTTCAAAGCCAACTAGACGCCGATTTTTTCGATGATACGGTATAATTCTTACGTAAAATGTAAATAACATTAGACCAATTAAAACAAAGAAATATGAATTTCTTAGTATTTTTAGTAACACCTTTATTCTTAAAACTTAATTTTGTATTATGCAAATATACCAATTTTATTGTTATTTTATTCATATTGTATTCAGCCATCACTTAAATATTTGATATTAATTTGGTATTATAAATAATCAATACTATTCATTAAAAATTACTGAACAAATATATGTTATGCTTAACATACATTATATATTATCAAACAAAACACATTCTTCTTTTAAACTGTGTCAGTCTTGTCTTTACAAAAATCTTTTTAAAATTTGAACTCAAAATAATAATCTTTTCATGATCTCTAATACACATATTCTTTATTTTTCCCTAGATCATAATACCTACTTACGTGTTTGAATCTATCGAAGCTGAACCAGCAACACTTGGAGTGGAGATTCCACAATATGAATAAAATAAACATAATTGTCCAGTTTTCATTAATACCATCATGGGAGAATATTATTTTTAAATTTATTAAAGATATTTTCAATAAAATTCTCTTGATTTATAACTCGTACCCACTTTTCTTCCTCTTCCGGACACTTTAGGCTGCCTAGTATAATAACTATCCTTAGTAACTATCCTTTCCACCAGGAACACAACAAAGATGAGGCATAGCACCAAAAACACACTCCACTTAAGCTTTATTGATGAATTGTTAGAGTCTTAAAAACACACACAAAAAATCACGATAAGTAAAAAATGTATGGGCACTTTTAGGTTAAATCTCTTACACAACGTGTAATTTTTAAAATTTCTATTTTTTATGCGAAACCGAGTGACCATATATCTGAGCTAGTAGTTTATGTCACTTCAACACCAAAATAATTAGTTTTTTGCACTACAATAATAAATAATACCAAAAATCAAAGAGTTAAAACCAAAAATCAACCGACAAAATATGAAACGGAATCTAACCCAATATCTAAGTATGTACAGCTGATGAAGTAAACAAAAGTCCGCCCGCAGGCTGATCTTTTAATAGAAGGCACTGAATAAACTATAGAAATATTTAAATAAATAAAAAAGAAACATAGGAAGTTCCTTGATAAGAATAAAGATAGAAATATGACTTCTACATGAGACGTGTTCGAAAATTCCATATCTTATCGTCCAACCAACAGTGAACATTTTTAGACACATGCCATTGATTATCTGGTTGTATAACCAACTTAAATAATATCAATGATTAAAGAATATTCTTATCAACAGCAAAAACAATTTTAATCAATTTTTTATCAGTTCGTTTCGTAAGATTTTTTATGAATTGTATTAAAAAATATGGGTGTTTATAATGGGCTGGACCTATTATAAGAGAAAGAAAAAAGAGTTTGCTTTTTCTGTAATCAGAATAAAATAAAGTTTTGCTTCGAAAATCACAGATTCAGTATTCGTTGTGATCAGATACCTAGGGCGGAAACCTAATAAAAAACCTAAAACGTTTAAAGACATTTACATGTGTTTTCGTTTCTGTGTATGTGCCTTTACAAATCTTCAAATTCCAATGCCGAGAGTCGAATTTCAGACACTCTGTATATCGATGCAAAGTATGCACGTTATGTATTAAAAAAGTACAGATTGTATGGTCAAGTCAACGTTATATACTAAAATCACAGATTGTATGGTCAAAGTAATATCAAAGTGAACTTGAAATTCTGTAAACTTTGGTAACAATGCCAAAAGAACTGTCGTGTTTCAAGAAACGTTTGTTCGTAATATTTTTGATTATATTGTGTGATCAAAATCGAAATCCAATCAAAAAAATTGCATGATCGAAAAAAAAACGGCGTCCAGTTGGCTGGGAAATGACGATCGATGATATTTCCCATATAAATTTACATACTATAAAATGACAGCGATGTTCATTTCATAGCCATCGCCAACGCCGTTTTTTTTTCGATCATACACGGTCTCTGGATCGAAGTGGTCGCAAGTTCTGCATCTGAAACATAATTTCCGGAACTTACAAATTAATTATTCGAGGAATAATTCGACCAACTACAAAATCTGGAGCAATCTGGATATGGCACTGGTATTTGGCTTTTGGCATTTATAAGGTTTCTATGATACGGCATATTATTATGTTTCAGAAATTATTTGAATAATATTTTTTGATGAAGTTATTTGTTGTGCTGCTGCATTTTTCTTTTATATCTGAAGATGTTTCAATCTGAGAGATTCATTTTTTTACAAAATACGTGGAGAATTATAGCTCACACTTTCAAAATATTTCCATTTTCTATACATATATAGGGTGATTGAAATAAATGTTTACACTAATGATGTAGTTTTATTTTAATGCAACAAATTTATGATAATGATATAAAAACATATTTCCTCAGTACAGAGGGACAACAATTACAATATGATCGAAAAAAAAGCGGTGTCAAAATGGCTTAAGGAAGCCAACTTTTACTTATATGTAGAAATTATTATAATTTTTTGAAATGAAGATCACTGTCATTTTATATGCAAAATTAGATTGGGAACGTTATCGATGTTCATTTCCAAGCCAACTGGACGCCTTTTTTCAATCATACCTTTCTTCTGATAGTGGCGCATCTAGAGATTGAGTCTGGGAGGGGTACTGGAAATATTTAATTTAAATTAAATTTACGTTAAAAAGTATTGCGACTGAAAAAAAACTTGGATTGGCCTGAATTTTCCATATTTTGATGATATTCTTAACTATTTTTATTTTAATAAAAATAGTCGGCTGATGAAATGCCGGGTGTGGGATTCGAACCCACTACCTTGAGATTGGTAGACGAGAGCCTGTACCTCTACGCCACCTGGTACCACTACTATCAAGCTAAGTGCCAAAAATGTTTAAAGTTACATTTTACTTGATCTGAATGCTAATAAGTGCCATATAAATTATAAATTTTGGTTTGATACTGTACCTGGTTTGATACTATTCAGGTTTGCACAGTACCTGAACAAGAAATTATGAAATAACAATGTTATTTCCAGGGTGGCGACCGATACCTATAACTCATATAACTGCACAATCCAGGTTTGCAAAGACGGTCTGAGCGTCTGTGGGGAACCCTTTAACATAAAGTTAAATCGAAGTGCATAAAAAAAATGTTTACATATTTATTCTTCTTCTTATCACACCTTTCCTGCCGAAGGTTGGCGATCCAAATGGCAATTGTGGCTCTGTAAACTGCAGCCCGGAAGATTTCCGCAGACGAGCGTTCAAACCATCTCCTCAAATCTTTTTAGCCATGAGCTCTGGCGTCTTCCTACTGATCTTTTCCCTTGCACTTTGCCCCCTATTATGAGGCGCAGTATTTCGTATCTACCACCTCTCATCACATGACCCAGGTATTGCATTTTACTTTCCTTGATGGTGTTCACTATCTCTTTTTGTTTCTGCATGCGCTGGAGTACTTCATCGTTGGTGATCCTTTGTACCCATAAGATTCGCAGCATCCGTCTGCATACATACATTACGAAGGCTTCTATTCTCTTTTCGGTCTGTGAATCCAGTGTCCAGCTCTCACATCCACAGAGTAACACAGAGAATAGAGAAGATGTAGCATCTGGCCATTCGAGTTCTGAGTTCCGCACTGAGGTCTCGTCTTGTAAAAAATGATTTCATTCTCACGAAGATTTTTCTCGCTTGCTCAATTCTTGAAAATAATTTCTCTTTTCGGGTCGCACTGACTATTGATGTTAGCTCCTAAATACTTTATTGAGGTCACTTGTTCGATTGTTTGTCCCTTGACACGCA